AGATGTCTCCAGACCTCCCAGTTGGAGGCCAGAGTAGACCAGTTATGGTGATCAATGTGGCCGAGGCTGAGATGTTGTTTCAGGGAGTCCTTGTAACTCCTCTTTGCGGCTCCTCTCTTGCGGCAGCCGGTGGCAAGTTCACCATAAAGCAGGATCTTAAGGAGGCAGTGGTTGGTCTTTCATCCTGGAGAAATGTCCTGCCCAACACAGCTGTGTTCTCATCAACATGGCCTCAATACTTGTGACTGCTGCTTGTTCTAGAACAGGTGTATTGGTCACATAATCTGACCAGTGGATGTTTAGGATTGTTCGGAGGCAGCGTTGGTGGAAGCATTCTGGGAGACGCAGGTGGTGGTGGTAGATGACCCATGATTCAGATCCGTATTGAAGAAGCGATACCCCACCTTTAAAAGGCCTTCCAGTTGATCTCTCTGTTTTCCACTGCAGCATCCCGAGTCCAGTGACACTGATGGTGTTTTCCACGCTCGGCCAAGGAAACATCAACGGAAGAGGCAAAGGAATGCATGACTCTCGGAGAACCAATTGATATTCTTCAAACAAGTTTCATTTTTAGAAAGGGAAGAGCATTGCCAGCGGGTCGAGGGAGGTGACCCTGCAGCTCCACTCAGCCCTGGTGAGGCACATCTGGAGTGCTGTGTCCAGTTCTGGGCTGCTCAGGACAAGAGGGACGTGGAGCTCCTGGAGTGGGTCGAGTGGAGGGCTGTGAGGATGATGAGGGGACTGGAGCATCTCTCCTACGAGGAAAGGCTGAGAGAGCTGGACCTGTTCAGCCTCGAGAAGACATGACTGAAGGGGGCCTCATCAATGTATGTAAGTGTCTAAAGGGGGGGGAACATGCCAAGAGGATGGATACAGGCTCTTCTCAGTGGTGCTGAGCAATAGCACCAGAGGCAACAGTCAGAAACTGGAACACAGGAAATTTCCACACTATTTGTGCACCTGGGATCTCAGTGAACATAACCGGACTTATAGTGCCTAGTTGGTTATAATCAGAAATGAAGCCTAGTGGCACCCATGAAGCCAGACAAGGCCCAGAAAGCAGGTAGAGATTTAAAATCAGAAGTATAGGTCAGAATATAGGAATATAAGTAGAATATAGGCGGAATATAGGAATATAAGTATAAACATGAGCACAAAGAACTTTGCCAATACTTAGCTAGGATGTACTGCCAGAACCTAGAGATAGAGATTAGGTGGTACCGTACACTAAACGGAATGCATACACACCCAGTCTAAGTAAGATAAGGGGGCAAAGTGGGGTTTGAATCCAAGAATCTTGCAAAATTCACCATTAAGTCTGCCAAAATCAAGAAAGTTGAAAAGTTCAGCCGAGGAAGAGGAATAAAAATGACCCTCAGAGGATGAAGAAACAGGAACGACCCTCCTAGATTCTCCCCAAATTGAAGACCACGCCCTCGACTCCACCTAGACTCCGCCTATTATGAATATTACAACTAGATGTTGCAATTATATGAATATGTATGTGAAAATGTTGAAATCACCTGTAAAAGTGGTATATAATCATGTCTGCTTACTAAAGAGGCAGAGCAGTTTGTCCACCACGAGCTGGCTGCTCTCCAGCGTTGCTTAATAAATATACCTCACTGCTTAAAGGCTAAAACTTGTCTCTGAGCAGTTTTCTGCGCCTTCTTGGGGGCAAAATTGGCATCACCCAGCCCCTCTGATCTCCCAGGACCAGAGGGTTTATTTTCTGCCATATTTCTGTACTTTTAATGCAGGACTCAGAAAATATTGACTGTTCATTGTAATTTTTTTTTCCTTTTACTTTCGGTCTTTTGGAGTATAGGTGTACCCTATTGGGGAATATATGTTGAGTGAGAATATTGTATAAGACACAACCACAGAATAGGTAAGGTTGGAAGGGACCACCGGAGGTCATCTGGTCCAACTCTGCTCAAACAGGGTCCCTTACAGCTCGTTACTCAGGACTGTGTCCATAGGGCTTATCTCCAGAGCAGAAGACTCCATGATCTCTCTGGACAACCTGTTCCAGTGATCAGTAACCTGCACAGTAAATGAGGTCTTCCTCATATTCAGGTGGGACTTCCTGTGCATCAGTTTCTGCCCATTGCCTCTTATCCTATTGCTCAGCACCACCGAGAAGAGTCTGAATCCAACCTCTTGGCACCCACCCCCTTTAGATACTTATATACATTATATACATTATATACATTATATACATCCATTACATAAATTCTATACATTATATATGCACTTATATACCTCTTATATACTAAGAGGTTCCCTCTTAGTTGTCTCCTCTCCAGGCTGAACAGGCCTAGTTCCCCCAGCCTTTCCTCAAAAAAGAAATGCTCCAGTCCTCTCATTATCTTTCTTGCCCTCTGCTAGACCAGTTCAAGGAGCGTCCTGTCTCTTGTACTGAGGAGCCCAGATCTGGACACAGCACTCCAGAAGTGGCCTCACCAGGGCACAGTGGAGAGGGAAAATCAGCACCCTCGACCTGCTGACCATCCTCTTCCTAATGCACCCCAGGATCGCACTGGCCTTCTTGGCCACACGGACACACTGTTGGCTCATGGACAGCTTGTTGTCTGCCAGGGCCCCCAGGTCCTTCTCCACAGAGCTGCTTTCCAGCAGGTCAGCCCCCAACCTTTACTCATGCCTGGGGTGATCCCTCCCCAGGTGCAGGACCCTCGCCTTTGTTGAACTTCAGACATTTCTGCTCTGGTGATCCCTCCAGCCTGTCGAGGTCCTTTGAAAAGGCTGCATGATACCTCTGGGGTATTGGCAACTCCTCCCGTCTTTGTGCCATCACTGACCTTGCTGAGAAGGCATCTGCCCCTTTATCCAAGTCACTGATGAACAAATTAAACAGTACTGGGCCCAGTATTGAACCTTGGGGAACACCACTAGTGACAGGCCTCCAACTACACCCTGTGCCACTGATCATGGCCCTGTGGGATCTGCTGTTCATCCACTTCTCGATTCACTTCACTGTCCACTTGTCCATCTTGAAACTCCTGAGCTTACTTATCAGGATATTGTTAGAGAAATTGTTGAAAGCCTTGCTGAAGTCAAGGTAGAGAATATCCACTGCTGTCTCTTCATCCCTTCAGGTGGTTGTCCTATTGTAGAGGGCTATCAGGTTCATTAAGCATGATTTCCTTTTAGTCAATCCATGCTGACTACTTCTAGTCATCCATGTGGATAGAAATGGCCTTCAGAATGAGCTGTTCCATCACCTTTCCAGGTGTAACAGTGTTTTAGTATTTCAGAATGTAGTGTAATAAAGATCAGTGATTGGGTAGACTGAAATTATTCGTATGAATGTTTTTCACGGCTTTGTTTGAAGTGTTTTATGGAACGTGTAACTTGAGTTTGAAGTGCATTTATTACACAGAATTTAAATACTTCCAGGCACACAAATCTGTTTGACTAGTTTAGTTTTTTATTGTATTGTCATAAATTCTGATATGAAAGAAAGGGAACAAAATAGATGAGTTAATGGATTTCATAGGGCATTTCTGATAATCCTTAACTGTGGTTCAAAGTCTTCTCTTTATTGCTTTCCTCCACAAACACTTAAGCAACCATTGTCCTCTGGAGAACCAGTGGTTTTTTGCTGTTATGTACAGAAAACTTTTGTTCCTAGGATTTAAAACAAAACAAAACAAAAAAAAAGACAAAACCAAAAGCATTGCAGATGGTCTCTTTCCTTCAACTAAGTTACCTCTTCATGTATCACTTTCCAAAGGGCTGGTTTTCTCTGAGAGTGACAAACCTGTTGCAGCATACTAGCTACCACCTGAGTTACCGTAGTTAGGATGTGCCTTCTCCAGGCATTGCAGCTGAGATACAATTTTGCTTTATTTTTTTGAGGATTGGCTTTGTCTCATTTGTTTAAGTGCCTTGCCTTCATTACTGCTTTTATTACTTCATATACCTCACTACTGGGAAGAGTCTTGAAATGCAGGCATGCTACTTCCTAGCACTGAAGACTTCTTTGCAGAATGAACACACATCTCTTGCGAGATGTTTGCTAGTGGTCCAGTAAGGAATGTGGTTTGCTTGTGATGGGCAGTTGTAAAGCCTTCTGTTGTCACCAAAGTTTGACCTGCATCTCAGTATCACTCTTGCTGATGTTTAACATGCCTAGGTTATGGAGCAACATTTTCAGAAATGACATGTGATTTAGAGAAGCTGAGCTCAACAAAATGTATCTCAGCAGCGTAGAGCTGCTCAGCAGCACAAGGGTTTTTAAGACTAGACACACCTGTTGAGTCTAGGCAGCCTTTTGATACTGTGCTGCACTCGGGTGCTCAGGTGTGTTGTTGCACTATATTGCATATGTATATGTATGAAATTAGCCAAAGGGAAATAGTGCTTCCAAATGGGCAGCACTTCCTTGCTTAGTTTGGATACTTGAGTCTAGCTGTTCGCTACTAGTGTCTCTCCATCAAGGCAAATGGTAGGAGAAAAGGGGTTTGTAAAATGAATTGTGAGAGCCTGAGCACTAACAAGTTTAAGATTCATTGAGCTAGGGCATAGCTTTTAGTCTCAGAATTCAAGGTAGCTTATAATGAACCCCCTGTCTTCATCCCTGTTTCTACAGAGCATGCTGTTTTGTTGCTCTACAGCTCCTGACTTAGCCTCTGACACAAACAGTGTTGTGGAAGAAGAGCACAGTTCTTACCATCTGGAACCGTCATGAACATTTGTTCTCAGGTAAAGAGAGATACATTTCTGCACAGTTCGCTACAGATGAGTACGAACTATGGATACTGTACCTAGTTGAAAACATCATTTGTCCCTACAAATTCAGATAACATCTCAGTGCTGAGATAACATCTCATCTTGAAGCGCTTTTTAGTTGGCAATTAAGAATGGAGGCTTGAGGAAGTGTGCAAAAGTAGGAGGTTAACCACACATGAGAGTCTTATGAAAGAAGTTTCTGTGGCAGTGCACAAAAAGCAGTAAAAGCCACACAGATCAGTCTTAACCTGTTGAACTTCCAAGGAGCAAACAGGCAGGAGCACTTACGTCAGCTGTTTGCGCAGGCACATTAACCTTTCCACTTCACCTTCTACTTGTTCTGTCGTCCAGTTGCTTCGGGTCTTTCTCATTTGCAAGCTTGTGAAAGATACGAAGACATGTCAATTCACACTGCAAAAAAAGAAAAACGGTTTCTTTTTACCTCAGAATCTGTTGCTGAAGGACATTCTGGTAAGTAAAAATTCTGATTATATCTTTGTTTTTATTAATACTTCTCAGTGAGGAATGCTATCTGATGAAAGTTCAGTCATATCTCTTGCAATGGAGAAATGAATGGAAAAACCCAATTGATTATTTTTAATAGATTTCAGATTAGTGTCTTTGTTTACTTGACTAGAATGTGTCCTATTTGTTTAGTATGCAATATAGTCTGGTATAGATAACTTAAAAAATTTGCTTTAGAAAGCATGGATTGGTCTTGTACAGGTAGACTTGTGGCTACCATGTAAACTGGAATTACAATTTTACTTTTTGTTCTGTAATGAAAAAAATAATACTTTATGCACATGTATATTATAGGTGGTCACTGAACTCCGAATCTTTGAAATGTTTGGAGTAATAAGCATTAATTTTCATCAGAGCTCTATTCCAGTGACTGCTATAATACTGCACGTGTCTATGTGTCACATTGCTCTCTCTAACACAAGTTTACATATGGTGTAGGATGTACAAAACCATTGAATTTTCCAGGTCTGGAAGTGCAGACAATGCTTCAGCTCTAATTACTGTTCACTAAAATCAGCTAATTTTCATACAGCTTTGTTTAAACCAACACCAATCTAGAAGCTATGTTAACTGAGGGACTGGAGGAAGTTTGGACCTCCAAGAGGCACAGTAGTGACTCAAATTTACAGTAAGGATAGTAACAGTTCCTTCTGTGTCAGTACCTTCATATGGAGCATTTTAATGTTTAGACTAAAAAAAGCATTACTTCTTACTTTTTCCATAGTAGAAGGAAAGACAAAAAAAAAAAAAATAGTGAGAAAAACAGTGTGGTGTCAAACATGGAACATTTGCAGACAAGTTTTTATTGTGTATCCATATTCTCAGGACTCTTACTCATTAGGTGGGAATGGTACAGCATGAAACCAGTTATACCAGCCTGTCTGCCCGACTCCTACTGAACAGTCCAACTGCAAGACCACTGCAGCATGTGGCACCTATATCTTGAACCACCATAACCACTTGTTTGCTTTAGAACAGTGCACTGGTTGTTGTAATTGTGTACGCAGCTGAAGGCAGTAAAACTTAACAGTTGTTGCAGGTTATGCCATTGCTGCTTGAGCATTGGACCCTTCGGTGTGGATCAATTTCACAGTCTTCAGAACTCAGTTTGTCTCAGGGTACCAAACTAACCAGGTGATAAACTTTGGAACCAAGATTTGTAATCTTTGAGTGAATGTGCTTGCAAGAAATTTCAGGAAGATAATGTTTAAGCTGTGAAATAATGCAGCCTTGCAGCTATCAAGTTGGTGTGGGTTTTGTTCCTTTGTTCTGTTTTGCTTTTTCTTCAAGCCTCTAAATTGTTGGACTTACTTTGCAAATAATCAAAAAGTGCACAGTGAAATGTGTACTTTCAGCTTGTTTGGGGAAATGCTAGAAAGAGAACATAAAAGATACAGAAGTTGCTCGTTCAGGTTGTGAAAATTATGCCAGTGAAGAAGCAACCTCTGCCCTTCCATAAAAAATCTCATGCTGACATTGAAGTCACTGTAGCCTGTATGAATAGAAGGGGCACATGTATTTTTAGCATTCATGCTTTGCTTTTGGGTTTAGTTTGTATTTGAGTGTGGTGATATTGATAGCACAATGGTTTATCTATTCAAAGCTACAGGCTAGCACATCTCACTTTTCCTTGCTTTTAGATTGTACTGTAAGATATTTCTCTACAGTTCACAAAAAATTCAGTTTACACTTAAACTTTACATTGAATTACAGTCCTTTTGTGATACAGAGTAACTCTAGTCTTGCCTTATAATTTCATTCTGATGTTTGTTTGCTTCCAAACTAGATTGTCTGTAAAAGTAAATAAGTACTTTAAGGTGGTGTGGACATTCAGTTATGATTCTACATTAATTTTCTCTGTGGACCCTTGAGAGAAGTTATTTTTGATTGGCAATTACATGTATAATTAGACAGACTATTACAAACTATACAGGCACCTGACTTATTGATACAGACAGTGTTGTAGATCCAGCTGTGCATCTGTGTGGCTGAACATATTTTGGATAAATTTTTTCTGTAATGGTGATGGGTGAAAATTAATTCATATTCCTCATGTTGGTTCTGCAGATATGCAACCTTTCAAATACGTACTTTGGAAGTAATAACATGGGTTGCTTTTGCCTAGTTCCATTTACATTAATGAGATATAATCAATTTGTCCACAAAATTGTTCATTAACTTTTAACAAGCCAAATGTGTTTGGCATACTGAGGTCTTATTTGGACAATGGGTCACAGGTGCTAAAGACAGAATAGGTAAAACTTTTTTCTGCAGTGCTTTTTTCCTAAGACCAGCTCTCAGAAATAACTGTGAAAATTTGTGAGGGGCCAATGTTTGTCACTGAGAGAAAATTTGCAGAAGCTTTTCTAAACTTGAATGAGCCAAATAGCAGTGCATATTTGCAGGAGTGGACTTCAGTACACTGTACCCTTTGTAGGGAGGGCAATGTCTCTTGTCATCTGAAAATGTTCACATGTGAGATTTCAGAGGTCCACACTGCAGGTACAGAAGGCACAAACAATACTGGAAATGCAAAACTCAGACAGTTATAAGATCTAGATTAAAACAAGTAATTCATACAGAAAATGCAGTACAAAGTTTAAAATAAAAGAGGAGAAGAGTGCAAAACTGCTACAGAAAGGTCTTAGCTTAAATACTTCCAAAACTATTACATCTTATATTCTCCTGGAATGATTATATCAGGATGCCTTTACAAGCCTTTTTCATTGTCCCTTCACTGGGAGGCTGCTGGCCTGTGCAGGTGACAGTAAAATGTCAGATAGAAGTGACTTGAGGAGAGAAGTGAAAACAGGGCAAGACATACATTTCAGAATATAAGTTGGTAAAATTGCTTCTTGGCAGATGCCCTGTAAACAGAAGTTTCTTGTCCACTGGGAATTAAATTTTATTAAGAAATCAATTTTTTTAATTACAAAAAGAAATGTGATGTCTCTCTTATTTTTATCTTCTAGATAAGATATGTGATCAGATAAGTGATGCTGTTGTAGATGCTCATCTCAGTATTGATCCAGATGCCAAGGTTGCCTGTGGTAAGTACAATCCAGACAGAAAAACAGATTAATGAAGTACAACAAGTAGTCAATGCTGATATAGTATCCTTTGATCCAAAATTCTTACAATATCTGGTTGTCAGTCAAGATTTCCACAGTCAGTCAAGAAGTCAGCTTTGGTTCACTTATTCAGAGGAGAAAAGAAGGCAGAAAAAAACCTGCAAAAAATAAACAGAAATACACGTAGCTCAGTGCAAATTAAAAGTGATGACATATGAGAAGTAGAGCAGGAGAAGCCATTGGTGTCAGGGAAAACTGTGGCTGTCAAAGATGATAATAAAGAGGAAACTAAGAAAATCAGGGAAAAAAAGAACTGAGGAAAGATATATGTCAAGGTGCATGTCTTTATAGAGCAAATAGGGGGGTGCCTGTTGTTCACAGAAGGATAAGTTCCTTTGGATGTGATTCTCATCAAAGTGGCTTGCTTTTTCTGTGGGACTTTCCATTAGGACTATGCTGTATTCTGCATGTATTAGCCATATCACCCACAGAGGCTATGAACATATTATCCAGTTGGAATAAGCTGAGTTGCCACAGAGGAATACGCACAGAAAGGGAACGGGTCTAAAGAGCTTTCCAAATACTGTAATTTTATTTTTAGAACGAGCCATCAAGGCCATAGTTACAGCACAGAGGACTAGCTGAATCCCATAAACACAGTGATTTAATATGACACTTCATCTGAAAAATTTAATGTGAACCTTGATGCATAGATGTGAGCAGTGAGGAGGTGTGGAGGGAGGGGTTAGCATAAGTGTTAGACTTGATGAAGGGTGTATTTCAATATTGCAGGCAGTTATGGTTCCAAAACTGCTGAAAAGTGGAAGATGGTAACATAGGAATGCTGCAAAAATAACAACAAAAAACGTGATAAGAGATGTGAGAAACAGCATCAGTTTGTCTTAGCAAGACAGAAGACTGAGATGTGACATAATTACATAGATAGTAGGTCATATTGTTGTAGTAAATTTTTTTGTGATTGTTTGCTCTGTGTTTTTACATAAAATGGAAAAGTTTGGAAACGAAGTGGACTCTTGAAAGAAACAAAGAAATAAAATATGAAGTGATTCTGCACAAAATTTGCAATGAAATTGCATTTGCTTCTTGCTGCAGGATCTTGTAGAAGCTAAAAGTTTTTGTGGTTGCCAAGGGCAACTGGAGGAATTACAGTAACAAAAATATATCAAAGACTGGTAAAACCATCTGTTAATAAATGATGTCCCTTTAGCTTCAGGAAAATTCTGACCTGAAACTGTTGAAGACCAGGCAATTACTTGGAGAAACAGCCCTATATACTTGATTTATTGTTATAAATATTTTCTGCTGGCCAGTGTGGAGATAGGATAATTGGGTACAGGGGATCCTCAATACATGCAGGCATTTAAATGTTCATATCAGATGAAGAGAAGAGTGATTGCACACAGACCTTTAGGTATAAGGTAGAAAGCTAAGGCTTTACACTGAGTTTCCCCTATGATTAGTCCTTTGCTTGTAGAACCATCTTCAAGATCACTCTGTGTAACTGTAGAATAGTAGCAGTAAAATTCTGATGTTTCGTATTTTCTCCAGAGTGTGTAGCAAAAACTGGAATGATTTTGCTCTGTGGAGAGATCACATCCCGAGCTATAGTAGATTACCAACAAATTGTGAGAGAGACCCTTAAGAAGATAGGATATGATGACTCTTCCAAAGGTGAGTGAAATCCTACATGTGTTCATTCTTAAGTCTGTTCTGCATGTGGCCAAAGTCATGTTTTTAATGGTCTTCTGGAGAAAGAAGTGAAATGTGCATCCAGGCCTAGGAGAAAATTCACAGATATTGTTGATAGGTAATTTTCAGTGTGTAGTATTGAAGGAGCTATTTTAAGGTGGCATACTTATAAAAGACTTATTCTTGAAAGAGTCAGATGTCTCCTGCTTCTCTGATGCAGAAAAGCTAGGTTTTGCACATACATCAGAAGGTGGGTGCATCTGTAGGTTTGTGCTATTAAAGCTTTAACAGTGATGTTACTTGTCCTTGGGGTGCACAAGCCTGTGACACTTGAAGTTCACACAAATGGGAATTCTTTATGTGTTCTTAACATATATTCCAAAGTAGTTTCCTTTCAGCAGTTGAAACACGTGACTATTTCCCTTCAGTCTTCCCTTTTCATGCATGATATGTACATTTTTTCTCTAATTCTATTGAACCCTAGAACATACTACAAGAAAAACAGAATATCGGTTTCTGGCAACATTTTCCACACTCCTCTCCCAGATTTAATAGCAAATGGTTTGAACCCAAATAATAACAAACAATGTAACAAGCTTTGGTGGGGCAACTTGTAGGATTACACTTATGCTGTCAATTTCAAGAATTTAAGTTTGACCTAATAGAACTAATTTTCCCATATCATGGAACTGTTATATAAATGTGCTCATTGTCTGCTTCCGTTGGCAATAAAAAAATACTGTATAGGAAGTTTATGTGCTTAGAGTTTTGAAAGTTTTAGCCAAGATAACTAGATAACCCTTAAAAACTTCTCCAGCAATTTGTGATCTCTCGGGAATATATGACCTAACTTCACAAAACTCCCTTCACTAGGACTGGACTATAAGACATGCACAGTTTTAGTGGCCTTGGAACAGCAGTGTAAAGAGATCAAGGATGCTATCTCCCATGGCAAGTGTGATGATGACATTGGAGCAGGGGATCAGGTAATTCCAGGCACTTACTCAGATCTAGTTCATGTGCAAGCAATTGCAATTACATCGGACCAGAGACTTTCCTTAAAAACTATTGTGCAAACTGTAAGAATTAGAACTCTTTTAAATCACCAGAAGTGCAAAAAAAGTATTGCAACCTTCACTAATTTCGAGGAAAGTGGCTTTCCCTGTATCCAGTGGCCTTAACGGGATAGAGCTACAATTTCATTTTGATCAGTTGGTTAGTTTCAAGGTCTTTCAAGTCCTTGGTTAGCCTAGTTTTACTTCTTAGGCAACAACTGCTGTGAGATTTCAGTTGTCATGTGTGGAGAGAAAACTAAACAGTCTTAATGAGCTTTATGTTTATGAAGGCTTTGAAGAGGGATCTTATGCATTTTTAAGGCAAAACCATTCTTGGGAACCAGCCCCTGCTGTGGCTCTGATTTTTGCACATAAATGTTATTTCGGGCTGGTTATATGTCAAAGGGTGTTAACTCTGCATGTTGCTGCTGTCTCTTGCTAAGCTTGGGTGATTTTAAAGTACTATGTGGCAAAGACAAGTGTAGAAATGGAAAGAGAACAGGGAAATGAGCAGCTTATTTTCCCATTTTTCAATGCAGTTCCGTGTTTTTCGATGTAGGGTTTGATGTTTGGCTATGCTACTGATGAAACTGAGGAATGTATGCCCTTAACAATCCTCCTAGCACACAAACTAACTGCGTCTATAAGGGCTCTGGAACGGAATGGAACGTGGCCTTGGGTTAGACCAGATGGCAAAACACAGGTTTGTAACATAGATGCATGAACTGTAAAGGTGAGAAACAATAGCAATCATTTACCCCATGTGCTACTATATCAGATTTCATGTTTGTCAAAAATAGTGCTGCTATTATTATCATCCAAGGAGGTGTGAGTTTGATAAGGTACATTTGTATGTAGCACATATGGTTTGTTTAAACTCTTCTATCAGTGTCTTAGCAGGTCTCCTCAAAACAATACTTGTATTTTCCTACTTTTCCCCCCGGAAATTAAGAATATCGGCAAATTACCAGTGATCAGCTGGATCTTTTTTTTTCCTGAGCAAATATAACCACTGACAGCTGTGTTGCAGAGCTGAGTGGATGAGTCACTGAGACTATTGTGTGATGCACTTTGGATGTCTCAAAGACAGTAAGTTCTGTCTTCTAGGCTGCAAAAACTGCAGGAAAGGAAAGGAAAGACATGCATGTGGCATTTCTAAGACAGCAAGATGTTTTAGTTTTAAGTTCTGGTATTTAGTGTGGAATTGCATTGGGTTATACTGCTGCTGTTGTTGCAGTACAACATGGATTTAATCCCTACATCTTGACAGGACTATGTGAACATGTGAATAAGCTGATTTCTCTAAGATGTTGTCATGGTTTGAGATTCTCCAAAATCCTAATTCCCTAGTCCTAGCCCCCTTCCCCATCTCAACCTAATGTGGGATGGGCTTTCCAGACAAAACATGCCAGACTCAGAATGGGGGAAAGGGAATATATTACAATGACTGTACAAATAAATATCATAATACATTATACACATGATCACAACTCTCTCTACCATGACATATAGTATTTACAATGGATCAGATCTCTTCTTCCCTCCAAATAAAAGTCCCGGAGGGAAGAAGGAAAGATCCCTTCCAGTCTCAAAGCAGGAGTCTCTTCTAAGGCAGCAGGTTTTCCTCATCTCATGCATGCAGCAGCAACTGGATTGTTGTAGCTGGATCTCTGTTCAATACACACAAGGGGGTCTCCAAGCCCCTTGGCCCGTCATCTCCAAAACGAGGGTCTTCTCTTCCGTGGACTGCGTAGCAGGGACAAGCTCGCGTCACCACGTCAAACCACGAAGTTCAGGGGTCTTCGTGGCAGTCTCTTTCCTCAGGGTATTCACCCCTGAGTCAGAACATCTTGGGCAGCATTCAGTTGCAAGCCTTTGCCTCAAGAGCTCTACCAGAGCTCCTGTACTCCGTCTCAGGCTGCCAGGCTTGCCAGCAGCAGCGGGGGGAGCAAGGTCAACTCCCCCCCACGTTCCTTCTCCGTCCCGGTCCAGCTCCGGGACGCCTTTGAGCTTCTTAGCTCCTCTCTCTCTCTGGTGCTGCATGTCCAAAACTCTTCTCCTTAATAGGAGTCCATGTCCCTCCTTTCCAAGAGGGGTCTCAACGGAGTTTAGGGGTCTGGTACAGTTCTTACCCACAAAAACTCTGTGTCTCTGCTGCCAGCTCTCTATCACGGCTCAAGCAAATCTGAGTCTTCCTTGGTTGCATGCTGCTTACTGTTCCTTCAGTTATCTCTTGGCTCTTAGCCATAACCTCTGGATGCTGCCGCCGCTTCTGCTCTGTCTCTGCTCACTCACAGTGGAAAAAACATCGCACAGCTCACAGCTACAAACACATAGTCCAGCTTAACACTGTTCTAAGTCTCTGTAGTCCCCAACTGGGGCTGGGGGTGGGGGGCAGAGGCCCCCCAGAGGGCTCCTGCCCTCTCCTCGTGGCTCCTACAACATAGCCACCACTTCTACTACTAAAACTACAGCTCTTCTCTTCCGTTTGGTTCTGATATGTTTACATTTTGCAGAAGTACTCATCGGACAAAACTTCAAAACTTCAAGAGTTACCACCCCCTGGGGGTTACCACTTTCAACTGCAGGGGGAAAACTTGGTTTAAACTGTTCAAGCATGTCTGAAGGGTGGGAAAGTAGAGAGACCACTCTAGTCTGTAAGAAAACAGATACTAAGGATGAAGCAATGCCAGTTAATATTTGCATGTACATAAAAGCCATGTACAATGGTTGGAAGCAAAGGATACAGCCTGTCATCTGATCTAGAGTTGTTCGTTTTAGCAGGGTTCTCTGAAATTTATTTAGGCTTTACTTTGGTAATCTACTATCTGAAATTAGGTTAGCATACCAAACCATGAATGATTTTAGCATCAGCTGCTAAAATCGTAGGATTTTGTAACTTCCTTGTTGTTTTGCTTTTCTGTGGTGATATGTAATGTCCTTTAGTTAGCTCTTCTGGTAGTAGTACTTCAGTATTTTTTATATTTCTTTTTCCTTACAATGACTTTAAGCATTGACAGCAATCCATCATTTTTCATCCCATTTCTCTTCATCTGTTTATTTTTGGCTGCTGAAAATAGCTGAGGTTCATTTGCAGCTTTCAGACTGGTTCTTTTGGCTCTGAGTGTTCACTGTCCTTTTTTTTTTCTCTCATCAGGTCACAATGGAATACAAGGAGTGTAATGGCACATTGGAGCCCATCCGAGTGCACACACTGGTGATTTCAGTAAATCATGACCCAGACATAACACTGCAACAAATACGGAAGGAGCTAATGGAGAAAGTTGTTAAAAAAGTAATTCCAGAGAAGTATCTTGATGAGGACACCATCTATCATCTCCTTCCAAGTGAAAAGTTTGTAGAAGGTGGTCCTAAGGTACTTTGAAAAATGATAGCCTATACAGACTTGGATTCTACTTTGCCACATGCTTGTGAATGTTCTCTTAAACAATAGTACAGTGAACTAGTATACCTTTAACCAAGAAAGTCTATACATTTTTAAGGAAGCTTCAGTCATCCCTGCTGGACTTTTCTTACTGGACAGCTGGTATCTAAACTGAAGCTCTACCTGCTTCGACAGCCAAATGTACAGATTCTTGGATCTCCATCTTGCTTCCAGAAAGTATTTTAAATGAGCAAAATCCAGTCCTTAAGTTACATGCTAAAATGTCAGGCTGGAACTATCTCTTCACTTTCACGATAAAAATCGAAACCAGAAATAACAATAGATCTAATATATACATAGAAATTATTTGTAAAGTGGAACGAATTTCAAGGGAGGCCTAATGTATTAAGTCTCAATAGTCATTGGAATTTGATGCATGTTCTGCTTACCATGTGCTGGTACTAGATAAGAAGGTCATTGCTGTGAAATTGTAAAAAAATTATGTTACAGAAAACTTTACAGTTTTGTATGAAGAGTTCATAAGAATTAAAACTACAAGGTGTGCTTATGATGGCACTGGGATGATGTAGGGATACCCCTTTCAATGAGAAAAAAAATGTCAGCTTTGCTCCCACACTACTTATTTGGAGATATAAAAATAGTGGATTAGTGCAGTTTATCTTCTTTTAGGATGGAATTTCTCGGCACTCTGGAGTTCATTTATCAGCACACCATTGCCAGCTTTGCTAATCTGGCAGAGAGGCAGGAATTCTCTGCTGGTTGAGCAAGTTGGATCAGTTCATCAAGTTGTAGGAGGCAGAAGAAAGTCTATGCAAGAGCATGGGACTCCATTATCAGGAGCACAGGAGTGAAGGAAGAAGATTAGTATCGCTTGTGTCACTACTGAACCACTAATATGAACTGAGCTAGAGTTTCTCAGTACTCATGTTCTGACAGCACTGAGCTGCAGTTACGTGAAGCCCCTGCTTCCCATTTAGTATGGGTATCTAAGTGAAGCTTGTTAACCTTTTCGGTCATATGTGATCTACTTTTGTTGCTTTAAATTCTTGGCCTTCATCAAAGTGTTGCTGAGTGAAGACTTTGTCCAGTAATCCAGAAACACTATTTCATGATTGCTGATTTGAAGTGAGCTTTCTTTTTGTTGTGTTTACAGTTGTGCCACATTCTTAAAGGTTTTCAAAAGTGACTGTAGCCCAGACAGCTTAGTACATCTCTGAAAAGTATTCCAGTCATGTAGAGAACTCTTCCATTAAACAGTTGCATGTGAATGTGAACACTGTGAACAATACCAAACAAAGCTATACCCCCTAACCTAGTATGGGATTGGATGAGCTATTGTGTCTCTGAATATACTCAGTTGTTTGTCCTTCAGACCGATGCTGGACTGACTGGTCGGAAGATCATTGTTGATACATACGGAGGCTGGGGAGCCCATGGTGGAGGTGCATTCTCTGGGAAAGATCCCTCCAAAGTTGATCGTTCTGCAGCCTATGCAGCTCGCTGGATTGCAAAATCTCTGGTGAAAGCTGGTCTCTGTAAAAGAGTACTGATCCAGGTAAGACAAACCATGAAAGTAATACAGCAGATTCTGAGACATTCTGGCCTGGGCTGCACAGCACATTGCAGTTATGGTAGCACTGTCTAGGTGTAGTTGTGCAACTTGCTGTTATTACATGATCGTATTGGTTGTAACTTAATCTGTTTTAAGCGGCATTTGAAATTACATTCACAATCCTAGTACACTGCTATGGTGTGAGATGTGATTAAGAGCAAAATTCACTTGTTTTAGAGAGTTTAAAGCAAGAACAACCTTCTTTAGTCTTGTATGCTCAGAACAAAATGCACTTCTTTCCTTGTGCAGGAATTTTTGTTATTACTATGTTCAAGAAGCAGAAGGAGGTGTTTTACTGACACCTAGACAGTTTCACCATTAAACATGAACCCAGTGTGGCTGTTACTTAAACAAGTGAAGTTTGCCTAGGCAGTTTGCAATACTAGTTTATGAACATAATCTTTCTGAGTAGCTGCTACATAATAACTCATTACACAACTCATTTACTAAATAAGTAAAATGTAGCAGCAATCTGGCTGATGTTTTGCTGCAGAGGTGTGTTTAAAACATTTTAAGTTCTTCATGGACCAAAAGAAAAGCCTACTGGATGTAGTTATGATGCATGACATAAGTATCCAGACATCCCAATTAGGAACAAGGCTCCTTGCTTTAGATGTTGTGTATGTGTTTGATACCTGATAGTTTGGAGTTAGTCAGGAAAAGATGAGACTGAGAATAAGCCAGGCACAAAGAAGTGTTGGTTAGCCAGTTGTTGATAATTTATTTTTTTTTCTGAATGGACAGAAGATAAACTTCTGATTTCTTGGTATGCACGTTTTGAATGTCATTTTTGAACACCTACATCACTATCTTTATTTTTGAGTTAGGTGGGAATGTTGTTATTCCAGTAATTTTCAGAGACCTTCTCTCAGACATGAACCTTTCTCTAGACAAGGCAAGTTTGACTTTTTTAACAGCAAATTATGGAGATCTCAGATATTAGCAAACAAGATAAGATGGAGGATGGGAGAGCAGAGAAGCCAATGTCTTGCAAAGTCATGGAGGGTTGGATTAAAGATTAACAAAAGGAAAAATGTATGAAGTGGAAACGCAAAAGTGTTTTCAGCCCATTAATAGCTGTGTGCTATGCTGAGACTTTGCCAGCCTCCACTGAGGTTGACAACTGTTTTTCCTATGGATATTGTTTACATGCTAACCAACTCTCATACTGAAAGGGCAAGACGGATAATAGAGAGAACTGCATGAAGAATGGCAGTACCTGAGAAGGACAGAAAGTACCTCTTTTGCTTTAAAGGAGTGTCACCCAGGTCTAGTATTTGACCAGGCTGAACGTTCTCTGAGGAAAACATAATTTTCCAACATAAAAGACAAATAGCAAGAGCATATCCCCTGGTTTCCTTTATGGAGACAGGATGTTCGCAAACTACCCTGACACATGTGATGAGCCTTTCCTTTCTCTTAAGCAAAAAGTAGGAAGGACTGTGCTAACAGTATTTGGGTTGTTTGCATGTGTCCTACAGCTATCATATGCCATCGGTCTGAGTTGTCCTCTTGCGATCTCAGTGTTTCATTATGGAACATCAGACAGATCTGAAGAAGAACTGCTTGAAATTGTCCAGAAAAACTTTGATCTGCGCCTTGCAGCTATCATAAGGTTTGCGTGATGTTAGTATTTACTGTATGGAATCATGTCTTTAGTGCTCTCTTTAACAGTTTAATGTTTAATTTTCTGGCTTATAACCTCAAGAAAGTCACCTTTGTCATAAGTCACTAATTGGTACAATTTCTGCTCTTCCTTCATCCGTGCTCCCAGCACAACATAAAAGGGCCAATTGATAAATCTAGCAACAAAATACACTGAATAACTAAGACCTACCTAAATTACACCATGTATGTCTACATGCAACCCTAATAGTGAATTATGTTGCAGTTCATTAGCCAGGTGGTAGTTTGCTTGGTAAAGTAGAATTAAAGTTTAACATAAGATGTAGTTAGGCTTTCCAGTTTGTTTACAGGGTGTGTAAGGCTCCAAATTGCTGCCTTATCTGAAAGGCAACAGAAATATTGGCTCTTCCTGAAAGAAATACTGAGGTAAGTATGGTTTCCGTGCCTTTGATGTTCAGGTGGCAACAACTTATGAGACAGCTGCGAGGAGATGGAAAGGCTCTGGTGCTCTCACATCACGAGCAACCCTGTTGAAATTAGTGGGACATTATGTGCAGTAATTTGCCCTGGTACACGCAGAGGGAAACTGAACACTGAGGGCCTGTCTCTGGTTGCCATGCAGTTTTGTGCAGCCTGTTTGAAGTCAACTAAAGCTAACTAAAAAGGAATCCGGGTTTCTTACATGCTCTCTAAGGATCTGGTAGCTGAACTATTGTGTGAATTTAAAACCAGAACAAGAATAGCCATGAGATGAACTGTCTTGAAGACAAAATTCAGTTGTAATCAAATGTGTCATTGAGGCTACCATGCAGCCAGAGAGGACGTGCAAAACCAAACCTAATAACTATTGCCTTTTGCAGCTCACCTTTTCTGGAATATTAATAGGCCTGAAAAAGTAGGTCTTTTAGTGTAATATAATCCTTACACATAAAGAAGCATGGGAATTACTCTTTTCTTTGAGAGAAGAAAGGGCTGAAGGAGAGAAACAGACCAGCACCTCTCCTTATCATCAGTTACCCACCTGCATTCCAGTGAGCTGTAATTTGACCCGAGCATTTTTCATTGATTTTTCTCCCGTTTATGACTAACTTATATGATTCTTTATGTGAACTTTTAAGAGGCACAGTTTTCTTGCCTATTTGTAGTACAGCTTCCTAAGACCTAATGGTACAGGTTCATCTTCTCTGTCCTGATGAATTTCCTAATCTCTTGGCTGATTTTCACCAAACCTGTCCTCTTAAAAGTTTTGTGAAATACACAGCTAGTGGAGAGAAACTAATGGAAACACTATAGCTTTTCTCTTTTAAGGGAGCATCCACGTTGTGAGTTCAACCCTTATTTTAAGTCTGTGAAATTGACGTGGGAGTTCAACTTGAGATAGACACCAGCAAGAACTTGAGTCCATGCAGACTTTGTCATTTTGAGCAATGCAGGTTTTAAAAGTTCTGTTCTAAAATGCTGAAACATGTATGTTAGCTATCTCGTTATTTGAGAAAAATGCTTTTAATGATTCACTTAAGATCATTCAAGTCTCTATATTCCAGAGCAATCTTGAGCATATTTGACTCTGAGGGAAAAAAAATATCAACATGTTAGTGAATAAGAGGTCTTTTTTTTCCCTTAAAAAGGAAAGACATTTCTGACAAGCTATATCAACTGATATGGTCAGCCTTTTGCATTCCTTTTCAGAGTATGGAATATATATGCTGAGGCATATATAATAGTCTGAGATAATGTGAGGCATTATGGCAACTTCTATTGAGAGATAATGTTTTCCAAGTGTTATCAGTTCACAAATACAATCAAAACTGTTCTTTAACTTTGTCATTATGGTAGTTGATCACTAACAATAATTTGTGTGGTTATTTCCAGATAATTACCTTGCTTTGTTGGGTTAAAATATGCTGCATTTTAAAAACACACAGCCCTGGAAGTGGTGAAGGCAGTAGAAAAGGAAGAAAGCTGGCAAAACCATGAGCATCACTGAGTGAATATTTCCTTGTTAAATATAACCTCACAATATTTAAAGTCCTGGAAGTGGTGCTGGCTGTCCATTCTAGCCAACTACTCATTGACATACTTTTCATTTAGTCAGCACTCATATTTTGACGCCTTCTGGCTCAGGGTCAAGCACAAATGACTACTACAGTAGCCATTGCAGAATGTGACCATGTTGCACAAAATACTACTTGAAGCAAGACATAGCTGCTCTATGTCATAAATGTCCACATAAGTGTGAGAACGTGTGATCTCTTCACCATCTGAAATGTATTGACTATTCTGTTGGTATTTGTACTTCTTACTTTGTCATTTCTCCACTACTTTTCTCTCCAGCAGTTTACAACGTGAATCGTCTATTCTAAATGTGCTTTCAAAGATAATTAAAGCAAGATAATACAATAGAAGAAAGCTCAAGGAGATGAAAATGTTTCAGGCCTTTCATGAAACAAAGAGAAACTTCTATGTAGATACCGGTAGCCAACCATTTAGCACAGCTGCTATCCACTATATTATGCAGGCTAAAGAGCACTTCCACCTTCGTTATTTATCAAGTTATAATTATGTCATCTTAAGCAGCCTACTCTAAATAGTGACTTAGTGTATCTACATAAGCAGTTAAACCTCCACAGTTACCTAGTCTACTAGATCATCATCTTTGGCAGCTTCTTTTGAGATCGTTTTCTTTCTGGCCCAGTAGAATTAGAAAATGTCCCATATCACACTTGAAATAACAGAAAACACATTGATGCTTGCCCAGGTATAGCTGGACTTGGTTCCAATTAAAATGCTTCTGCATTGTAATGTTTATAAAGCCTAACTGCATACTTACTGCACCTCTGAGACACCTGGCTATTTCTACTCACTTTAAAATTGAAACCATCAGCTCACTGTCTTTCTTTCTGTAAATCTGTGTGGGGAAGGAAATGACACCGAGGTTTTACTGTCGTTCTCCTGGGGATGATACTGATTATGCTTCTGATATTTCCAGATTGTAATGTACGTTGGAGTAGAGGTAAGTGTAAGAATCACTTTTGGTTTTTTTCTTTTCATTTAGGGAGCTGGATTTGAAAAGGCCAATCTATCAAAAAACAGCATGCTATGGGCACTTTGGAAGAGAAGAATTTACATGGGAAATACCCAAAAAGCTTGTGTTTTAAGCTTTTCAAAACATTTCATATTATTGACAGGGGGCTCAATAACCAGGTAACATTTTAAGCAGTTCAAGAAAAGACTGTATGTACACTTAAATGACATTCGGTAGTTCATAGACATACTAAAAATTATTTATATTTGATTTCTAACTTTCATAGTGGCCTTACACTTCAAATACATGTAGTTCTATCTAATATATTCTTCAGCTTTGTCTTTGGTAATATGTGAAAAATTTAGGCATTTGACTTTGATCAGATATAAAGTGCACAGATGGTTATGGAAGTTGATGCCATTCCTATTCTGCCAGGGCAGCCCACTATTGCTTACCCAGTTAAATTTGTACTGAAGAGGATGAAGTTGGAGAGGTAACTTCAAGAGCTCCCCACGAGAGGAAAGCAGAAATAGCACAAACTGCCATAATTGTTTGGGCCAGGTCTTCCAAGACTATAGATTTAGTTTAAGTGCTTTAGTGAATTTTAAGCAAATTAGTAAAAATACCCATTTCTTATCATTGGTCACTGTAACCCTAAAAATACATGTTATTTGTTTGCTTTTAACATTACATATCTTTCAAAACTGATGAACTCCTATGTTGTGATTCTTTTGTTCATTTATAGTTACTCCTTCTCAAACTTGAATTTTCCATGTCTGCATGAATTGGAATTGGCTGTATAAATTTTAGATTAAGTTTAATTTGGCAATTTCTGAAATGTAAAAAAAAAAATGTTGTAAAAAGCACTTAGAGGACATGACTTTCCTTTTAATTCTCTGGATGAAAACATAAATGGAGAGAGAGAATGCAAAATCATTTAGCTTTTCTTCAAGGACTAGAGAGAATGAAAAGACTTGTATATGGAAATTAGCAATTCTGACAAGCAAATTTATCATTAAATTGGTAACTAAGACAGAATGTTGGAATGATGTAGCTACTGTTAATGCCAGGGAGTTTTGATAGACAACTAAGAAATAAGGTTCCCTCACCCCTGTTAAGGGAAAAATAAAGGCTTCAATGATAAGTCTAATCAAATGCAAGTAGTTGAATATAACATTAGTCTCAAGCAAATTTTAAAAAGCTGCTTCCTTTCCTGCAAAGACTGATCAATCCATTGATCCTTGGATAGACTGGAGCTGAAGTGAGGTCACTGTACAACTGTACCTGTGTCTCACCTGGCCTGGTGCAGTTAACCCAATGTAGCACAGTAACTGCTACAGTCCTTGTGACCTACAGATGAGGCAGTTATTTTTTTCCATTAGAAAACCATATGCAATTATTTTGTGGGTATTTTTTGCATTTTTTAAAAATTTTTTTTATTTAATGACAATTTTCCTTTTTGTCACAGGACCCTGGACCTTATCTTTGCCTGAAACTAATCCCATTTAATATACATATGGCCTCATAGGCATAAAGCATAGCATTAAACTTCATTAGAATTTGCTCAAATTGGTATTTTTTAGGAAATAGTAATGCAGCTTGATAATTCTGAAATGTCAAAATAATAAAATATTAAAAAATGTTTTAATAAATGGTGGCACAAAGTTTAAATGGCAAGGGAGTGCAGAGATCACTATACATTAAACTGATAGCAATTTCAGTAAATGGGCATATAGTGTCAATTTTACAGCTGTCTCAATTTCACTGTCATAAGACTTCACCCTTCCAAAGTTAAATAGAGCTTTGTTAAGAAGCTGTGATGCTTTGCTTCTCATGGAAGAAGAGCATTTTGATGAAATGTCTTTTGTTAAACTGAATGAGGAAATTATTTATTCAATGGAGGTGTCTGTTAATCGCTGCTCACTGTCAAACAAACAAAACACAAACAAACAAGCCCCCACAAAACCCCCACGGTGTACTTCAGACAGTAAGAACACATTCCTGCAAGACTTCTTTCACCTTGGTTTCTAACTTCAGAGTTGAAGACATTTTCTTCAAGGAATTTGATAGACTACTAAGCTTTCCTTCCCCTTGTCATTGATTGGTGTTCCAAAGTAGCCAGGAGTACCACCTGCTGAAGAAATCCCTAAATAAGGATTGGAACAGGTACAGTGTACATTAAGACTCTAGAGATCCTGTCTAAAAATTTTAGTGACTTTTCTAATGACTAGTGAATTAATTTTATTTATAGAGGGTAGCTAATTTGCCCTATGTAAAAAACCTCTTAAAAAACAGAAAAAAGACGTATGCCTTGTTTGAAACCAGCAAATAGAGAAAAGATACCTCTGCTAAGTTTGTAGTGTCCAGTCCAAAGCCAGACACAAAACTATTGCTCCACAAAACCAGTGAAATAATCTTTTTTCGAATGATTGGCGCGTTCTCTCATTACCATTCTGGAAAAGAATGACTTAAACTAGGGTCTTATTTGAAATATGTGGTTACAATATATTATAAAAATCTCCCAATATATAGCAGGTCATAATCTGCATAAGAAAAAAAATTGTAAGAGCACATCAGAAGAAGAACACAACATTTTATGCATTGTGTTTTGCAACTTCATCCACAGTAGCAGGCTGTACAGATATTCAGCCCATACAAAGAGCTGCATGAATAAAAATTTGTACTGCACAATATTATTTGAGTGTAACATGTGGAGGTATTAGTGGCTGCTCTGAAAAAGAGCTTTTTCAAACAGTGAGTTTGCGTAGGCACTTCCCAAAGATGGTTATTCTTGCTGGATTGTGTGAGGCAGAATTAAGCTTGAATCTTTCAAAGGGGCATGGTTTCACTCAAACCTAGAACAGGCAATTAGGAAAGAAAATGAATGGACAGAAGTGCCAGCTTGGCTGTAAAAGTGCTTTTTGTGCAATTCCGACCTCAGAAGGAAGGGAGGGTCTCTGCATGCAAAATGAAGATGTTAAATTAAGAAAGATCAAACTTCTGTTTGCTTTGTGTGAGGATTAGTTTTATGACTCATGCTTCCAGAGTACATCACAAGAGCAGTTGCACTAAAAAATACAAACACCGAAGAAGTATTTAATCTTCTCTCTGAGATGTACTTCTAAAATAGATTTTCATCTGTGCTGAACCTAATGAACCCTATCCAGAGCTATGGAGATATTATTATATGTGCCATTTTTATAGTTATATTTTGGATAAATGCAAAATAGAATGCGAATTCAGTGCTATTTAATTAATTTAATCCCTTAGAAGCTGAAAGCAATTACTGGAATGGAAATTAAAGGGCATATCTTTACTATGTGCCAATCGACAGAAGGAACTTTTCGTTTATGGCACCCCAGTTTATGGCTCTGCCCTGTCTTGACCTTGCGAAACAAAAGGAAATTCCTTCTTTACCACCTTCCCCAGCTAAGATTTTTGGCCAGAACGACTTGTGGTTCATTCCGAGTGACGCTGTAGAAGGAAGAACGGTAGACGAGAGTTAAAATGGGAAGCCTGGAGCGCATAGAGTTAAAATGGGAAGGCTGGAGCACAGCTCTGCCATCGCGCTGCAGTCCGGTGTGGTGGTCAGAGCTGGAACTAGTAACAGTGGAACAGGAATGCAAACTAGGCACCACCTTGTTTTCCTCTGCTTTTCAACAGGAAGTATGCAGGCATGTAAAACCTTTCCGCCCTTAACAACTTTAAAAAAATGAAAAAAAAAAAAATAAAAAATCCATAGGCCTCTCCCGAGAAGCGCTCGGACAACGCTCAGGGGTGTGACTCTTGAGCAGGCTCCTGTGCAGGGCTCGATGATCGCTGTGGGTCCCTTCCAGGTCGGCATGTTCCGTGATTCCTAGGGCGAAACGCCGCGGGCAGCAGGGCGAGAGGGCGAGGTGCTCCTCCCGCGGCCACCGGGAGCGGGAACGGGGCGGGAGCGGGAACGGGAGCGGGAACGCCCTCGGGCTCGGGAGCGCGCTCGGGGCTCGGGAGCGGGCCCGGGCCCGGGCGCGCGCTCGGGCGCGTTCCCGGCGCGGGGCGGGGCCGGCGCTGGGCGGGCGGCGCCCGGAGCGCGTAAATGACGCAGCGGCCCCGGAAGCGGCCGGAGCGGAGCGAAGGGCGGCCGCGCAGACGGCCCGGCCGGCGCTGGGGTCCCGCTGCCCGTAGCTCTCGGCGGAGCCGCTCCGCCGCTCACCGCCGCCCCCACCCACCCGGTACCATCCCGCTCCTGCGCGCCCGGCCGCCGCCGGGCAGTGCCTGCCGGGGGCCATGTCGCTCCTCCAGTCCGCCCTGGACTTCCTGGCGGGCCCTGGCTCCTTGGGGGCCGCCAGCCGCGACCAGAACGATTTCGTGGGGCAGACGGTGGAGATGGGCGAGATGAAGCTGCGCATCAAGCGGGTCATCGCGGAGGGTGAGAGCGGGCGGCGGCCGCGCCGGGCCGTGCGGGGCGGACTCGGGCGCTGCGGGGCCGGGACGGGCTTCCCGGCGGGCCTCCCGCTCCCCTTTCCCCCCTCTCCCCTTCCTGGACAGGGAGGGTTCCTCCTGGGCAGGCCGCGCCCTGGTGGGGGGGGGAGGGCGGGCGGGCGGCGGCCGGGACGGAGCGTTCCGGGCCCTGGGAAGGGCCGGTTCCCTCCGGGGGTCCCGGGTGCGCCCGGCGCCTGCCACTGCCAACGGGGGTGCTTCCCGGGGCCCGGCTGTGGGAGCCGTGCTTGGTGTTATTGTCCCGCTCCAGGACACGGAAGCCACGGAGAACTGGTGTGTTGTGTGGCCTCTTCTCCGCTTGCTTTGTGGTTTTAAGTGCTTTCACCGCGTAACAGAACTCAGAGGAGTTTATAATCTACCAAGGACCTCGTGGGAATGCTGGGTTGCATGTGTTTATTTTATTTTTTTTTTATTGTTTTTTAAAATGACAACATATAAACAGTATACCAAAGGTGCAAGTTTGCCTGTGTTGCTTCGGGTTGTTCGGGAGACTGTGAAATGCAGGAAAACATGTTTGCTTTAAACACTCGTGTCAGGAGGCTGGTCGCACTGTGCACATAGACTTTGCTAGAGTAAGGGAATTGAATGCCTGGGCAGTTTTCAGTTTTGTTGAATTTTCGGGTAGGTATCCTGGCACAGCACTTGCCAGTCTGTTTTAGAATGGGTACTGTGTTTGGTGTGTGCAAATTACTTAGATGATAGCAGAAATTTGGATCTTCTTGTGCTTATGATCTGAGAAATTACTTTATTTCCTCAAGCAGAAGAACCACCAAAAGCTAGTCTCAAAAGACTAAAATGTGAACTTGTCTATCCTAATGCAGTTAAATATTTTGTTAATTTTGTACAGGTAGTTGGTGTTATTTAGGTTAAATACTGCAAAGCTCTATTCAGAGCTCCTTTTCGTTATTGGGGTTACTTTCTTTAGTTTCTTCTTGGAATTGTCTGGTATTTGAGTAGTTTTTTGTTGAGACCTTGGTGATCTGCGTGGAAGAAAAATTTGATTCTTTAAGATTAGCTACTTCAAACTACTTACAAGCTACTTACAGAAACTTAGTGGTGTAAAACAACAGGAAACTGGTCTTCACCATTGCTTTAATTTGTCATTTTAATGCTTAAGCACTTTTGGCACCTGAGCTTAGACAGAACCTGGCAATTTCTTACGCAGTAAGTTGTGTTTAGAATGGTACTAAATGCCAAGTCCTATTTGGCCATCAGCCTTTACCTACGGCTTCTTTATGGTCAGAGTTGTGAGTGAAATGCAGGCACTCGGTATGGTGTGAACGCTAAAAGAACTGTCTGTGCTGCTGATTTGTAACATTATTGCAGGCGGTGACCGCAGCAGTTTCCAAAGGACAAAGGAAAGTTAGGACAGGAAGCTACTTTTGAGGCGTATCTGCTGTTTAGTTCTTGGTTCTGAAGCAAGTATTTGAATATTTACTTTGACAGCAGCCTGCTGTTTCCCAGGATCTGGCACACAGGCATTGTAAAATGTCAGGGGAAAGATGCCAGGGTAGATGACTTAAAGCAAATGGGGACTTGCTTTAACTTTGGTGTTCTTTACAATTTGTCTGTAACCGCTGCTTCATGTTCCATGTTTGTCACAGTATTATGGTTTTATTTTTTTATTGTTTTCTTTCTGTGTTGTGCCAACTGAAGTGGGGCTTACCGCTTAC